AGCAGAAATAAAAAAAATTGCAACCTAACCATATTCGACTATAATTTAAACGTAAATCTGGAATCTTCATGTATCCGCCGTCTAATTATTTCTTATGAAGTTTAGTACATGAACCAATTATTTCTATAATCAAAATTAACAGTGTCATTAATGAGTGATGAGCATGATAAAGGTAAAACTGTAAGCACTCATGGACAAAATTCTTGTACAGTGAATGAAGCTTCGAAAATCCTCAGGCTTAAACAACACAATACTTCAGTGTTTCGAGGACGGATTCGAGAACATGTCGACAACAAGTTTGACCTTGGTTATTCAGTACTACACATTCTTTGGACAATCGTTATAAACATGCAAATAAGTAATATTTACAATGTTATAACCACCCCGCACCCAGTCTGAGTAAAAGTGCCTCCATCACGTTATACTTCTGAAACATCTTTTATGAACTATTCTGCGACTTCTAAAATGCAAATATCACACGCGACACGCCCTTTTTTTAGTGAGTCAAGATTTCTTAATGAGGTAATGATTTAATGGTAATTCACGAATACCGGTACGAAATCATTGCCTAAATTAAGGATATGGAATTAATGACCAATTAGGAACTGCTTGATATAGACCGTACTGATAACATCACATAGTTATTATTATGTGGACGATATATGTTAATGATTTAAAGGTATATTTGATAATGGAACTTATGTTTTTATTACCATGTTAGGAAAATAATGTTTCTAGCGATATACTGTAGAGGGAAATGAGTTTTCACTTGAAATTACAATAGCCAGGTATATGAAAATATTTACTCCCGATATATGATTTGATGTTATTTGAAACTGCAAAAAGTTTATACAGGATGTTAAAGTTATATCGAGTTGTCTGGCTGGGTATATTGCATGTATTTGTATATATGTCTTTCAATGTCTGTCTTCGATGTCAGCTATGTTTCTTTCTTCTGATCTGTCTATCCTCTCTCTCTGTATGTTTCTGCACTCTGATTCTGCCAATCTCTTTGGTATGTTTGTATGGTCTGATTCGGTCTCTTTCTGTGTCTGTCTGTCCTTTCTGTCTGTCTGTCTGTCTGTTCATCTGTCTCTTCTCTCTCTGTTTCTGTGTCTGTCGATCTGTCTCCCTCTATGTCTGCTGATCCGTCTCCTCTATGTCTGTCTGTCTCAGTCTCTGTCTCTGTCTGTTGTCTATTTCTCTCTCTCTCTCTCTCTCTCTCTCTATCTCTCTCTCTCTCTCTCTCTCTCTCTCTCTCTTCTTTTCTCTCTCTCTCTCTTGTATACAACATACATATATGCATATATATATATATATATTATATATATATATATATATATAATATATATATAATATATATATATATATATAAACTATCACACATACAAAATAAATAACTGCTCTCTTGATTGATGACCAATTAAATGAACCCTTTTCTTTTTCCTCTCAGCGCATACATCAGAAGCAAAGCTATTCGAAATACGCAAAAAAAAAAAAGACTCCCCCTCCCCCCAAAAAAAAGTGACCCGGTCTGACCTTTTACCCCAGGCACTGACCTTCACTTCGTTATATTTGCACGAAAATGTGTACTTGCATTTCGTTCGTGATTAGGTCGTATCAGGATGTGCGTGTTTCGTTAGGTCTGTGGTCGTATGTTTTATTTTTTTAGCATTTTTTAGCATTATTGGTAAAATTATTATTATTATCAATGCCATGATAATAACAATGATGCTACTACAAATTCTGATGATAATAATGAAGATTATAAAAATGATAATAATAATAATTGTTATTATTATTAGCATCAATATCGTTATTATTGTTATTATTAGTATTGGTATCATTACCATTGTTA